TTTCATGGAAAAGATTGAGGCCCCTGATGGATACATTTGCAACTCTTCTCTTCCACACTTCTCAACATTATCACTCATTCTTTACTCTGGCTTCCTATTTCAGAGTACATGTATTCCTTGCCCCTTGCTGAGGCCATTTCTTATATTTGTGCACTGGATCCTACCCCAGCTCATCTCTTCCAGAGTCCCTTCAGTCTACGTCGGTAGTCAGCTCCCCTTTCTTTCCTGTCTTCAGTCTGACTCCTTTCTATCTATAAACATATTCAGATCTCTCCAGTCCTTTTAAAAAAACAAACAGACCTCCTTCTGTATACATAATCCAGTGATTATCCAAGTTTACTCCTGCCCTTTATAGCCAAACTTACAGAAAATTGTCTCCACTGCCCACTCTTTCAGTGACCCCTCACAGCGCTGCCTTTGACATTCTCCTGAAACTGTTCTCTTCAAAGGTCACCAGTTGCCACCTAATTACAGATCCAATGGTGCTTTTCTCTGTTCTCTCCTGGACCTCTCTGCAGCCTTTGATAATTGTTGTCGACCACTACATTCTTCTGTGGACTCTCTTCCCTTGGCTTCCAGTGCAGCAAACTTCCCCAGATTCCCTCGTACCCCCTTACCTGCTCCTTCCTGCCTCTCACTGGCTTCTCTTCCTTTTCATAACATCTTAAGGCTTGTATACCACAAGATTTTGTCCTCATCCTCTTCACTGTGTGTGTGTGTATGTGTACACACATACATGTATGTATACACCTGTGTATGTGTATATATACTCTCAGCTGTCTTTTTTACATGCACAGTTTCAATTATCAGTCCTGTGCAGATAACTCCTACATTTATGTCTCCAGGCCTGACCCCCTACTGAGTTGCCTGTCCACATCTCCCCCTCCTTATGGGACATCTTGACTTTCATCTGTCATTAGCACCTCAAACTTAGTATCTTCACGGTTTAGCTTACCCCTAGAAACCTGTTCTTCATGTTTCTGTCTGTGATGTCACTATTCCCCCCAGCTCCCACATTTGAAATTGATGCCATCTTTGGCTCTTCTCTATTCCTTGAATCTGATTAGTTACCAAATCTTGCTGATTCAGTCTTTGAAATCTTTCTCAACTCTATCCTTTAATGTCTTATCCCACTGCCACTCTAGAGTATAGTATAGTCTTCATTGCCAACTACCTGGATTATAGCAGTAGTTTTATTGACAGTTTGTTTCTGGTTCTGTTATCTTTCCCCTGAAAACCATCTTTCACACTTATTTTCCTTATGTATAGATCTAATATGACTCTTGTGGTCAAAATTCTTCAGTGACTGGCTATTCAAGGCCCTCTACAATCTAGAGCTATAGCTGTTCTCTTCCAAGAGCTCAATCCTCATACCAGACTGAACTGCTTGTCATCTAAACATACCCTGCCCTTTCCTCTCACTGGGCCTTTACTTATATTTTTCTCTAAACCTGGAATGCCCTCCCTTTTTCCTTTTTCCAACTTACTGATTTTTTATTGGCCTTTTAAAATACAGCCAAAATACTACCTTTCTTTGTCATAATTCCATACTACTGTCCATACTAATTCTAGTTCTGTCCATAATTCCATTATTGAAATGTGGTTTTGGCTTTTTTTTTTTTGCAAGACAGTCAGGGTTAGGTGACTTGCTTAGGGTCACATAGCTAGTAAGGGTCAAGTGTCTGAGGTCACATTTGAACTCAGGTCCTCCTGATTCCAGGACTAGTTCTTTATTCACTCTGTCATATAGCTGCCCCTTAAAATGTGTTTTTTCAAAAGTTCTAGCACACTACTCTTTACACAGTAGATCCTTAAATATTTGTTGAATTGAATTCTCTTTGGGAATTCTGTTGGTCTGTTCTGTTGATTGACATTTCCACTGCTTTAGTATTAGAGTTGGCTTTCTCTTTGTAGAATACTGATTGAGAGATGTTTCTTTTGGATTAACTCAGAATAACTGCTGCTTGCCCTTCTTTCTCTCCTCCCCCTTTCCTTCCTGGTGTATACTTGGTGTCATAGGTGTGGGGTTACTAGCCTGTAGAATCAGATTTCTTTAGTACAGTATTTGTTCCTTGCAGCTGTGGAACTGAGTCCCCCTAAAGTTGAACCAGATTGTGAACTTGAAGAACAGATATGAAGATACCAAATTGGATTTTCTTTTTAAGGGCGTGTGTGTATGTGTGTGTGTGCGCACGCGCGCACAGTGGTGTTGTGTTTGAAGAAATCCTTTTTTTTTTGGAAGGAATCTATTTGGAGTACAGACTGTCTTATGGAATGGGTTTTGTTTTCTTTATCTGTTGGAGATAACTTGGTTTTCCTCCACAGGTACTACCATGGGAGTAGCATTACTGGAGGGCTGGTGAAGGGTGCTATGTCTTTTGCTGCCTCTGCCTACAAGGCCCTATTTGCAGGGCCACCAGTCACTGCTCAGGTCAGTGTGTATGTTATTTTCTTCAACTGTCGCCAGTGGATATATTGGCATTTGTCCCAATTCCATTGTAGAAAGCCATAAAGGCATCAGAAAGAGGTGTTCTTAAATAGTTCTTTATCCAGATCTTTGGATAGCTGTCCCATTTCCTTTGGTACATTTCCATCTCAGTCTCTCATTTTTTTCTTCTTTTCTGCCCCATAGTCATTACCTTGAAAGTATCTCTCCAAAACTCCTTCTTTTCTTCCCTCTGGCTCCTTAAAGAGTAACTGCCAATTCATATTTCTTTCTAAATTTTCCTTTCTTTTGAAATATTGAGAGACAGTACGCTGAGTATTGGACCTGGGGTCATAGGACCTGAGTGGTCCGCGTCTCCCACTTACTAGGTCATCTGAGCAGATCACCTAAACTCTCTGGGCCATAGTTTCTTCATCTAAAATGAGGGCACTGGACTAGATCAACTGTCTGTTTCTTCCCTATTGGCCCTGACCCCCCCAATTTTCATTGCTACACATGTAACTCAAAGGGGGCTTATGTTGCATTTTCAGAAGATGTTTTGAATGTGCTAGAGGTATGTAGAGAGTGTGTGAAGGAGGAAATGCTTGAATAAATTATAAAGGAGTGATTTTGTTATTGCTTGTGCACAGCCTCTAGTTTCTGAAGATCAGACAGCAGCCCTGATGGCCCACCTGTTTGAAATGGGGTTCTGCGACCGGCAGCTGAACCTGAGGCTGTTGAAGAAGCATAACCACAACATCCTGCAGGTTGTGACTGAATTACTGCAGATCAACAATAACGACTGGTACACACACCGCTATTGAGGAGCTGCCTTCGACTTGAGGGAACTGTTGTATTAAATAACTCAGCCTGCTGCTCAGAGATGACTTTATTCTGTTATTGGGGTGTGGGGTAGAAGGACCTTGCTTCCTTATTTTTTAACCTGAAGAGTCTGATATGTAGTTCATCGTTGCAACTTCATCATCTGCATCACAGTATTCTTTGGATGCAATCAAAGACCAGAACTTAAATTTTTACTTTAGACTGGATTAGTAGGAAGACAATTTAAAAATTGGTTTGGATTAATGACTCTTTCTTTCCCTACTATTTCTCCCTTTTAGAGAGCATTGAAGACAGTGGTTTGAACTTTATTTAGAACAAATGTTCTCCTTGTACTGAAGTTGAGTATGTTTGTTTGGTTTTGATATTTTTGTCTGGTTGGTTTTGATGTGTTGTGGTGTAATATGAAAGCCCCTGGGAAGAGAGGCTGCTATCAAGTTAGTCCCATACCTCCTTTAACTTTGGAAGGGCAGCCTCACCCCTGGCTGTTGAGATGACATCCAAGTCTGGTACTGCTACTACCACACAAAGTATACTTGATGAAGAAGAAAAACAGATAGCAGTGACTGGAAAGTCTGTTTTCCAAAGATTCCCAGTAACATATTAAAGAGTAACCACCTTCTTCATTCCTGGATTTTAGTGGCTTAAGAGATAGGAGGAGTTAATTCACCAGCACCTGCTGAGCAGCATCAATTGTAGTAATTTTACATACTTTTTTCTTTAAGCAAAAAAATTTTTAGGATAAAATATTTTGCTAACATAACTAGAAGGTGGGGGGAGGTCAGTTTTAATGAATACCTTTTCCTCTAATGATGATGGAGAGATCCTCTTATTTTTCGAGAGAGTAGGGGGAAAATAGGAATATTTTAAAGAGAGAGAGGCTTGGTCCTATATTAATTCCAATAGTTTGGGATGGGCAAATGAGAGTATGTGGCACAGGAGTACTTGTCTTTTAACAGAAACTGGTCAGAAGTAGCATTTGGGTCAATAAAATAAAAAGAAAAGCTGGTATACAAGTGGATTTTGCAGAGTGCGGGACAGTTCAGCAATGCAGTCTGTTCCGGGTGAAGTTAGAGGAAAGGTTTGGTTTTAACCCCATTTGGATAGAGGTAAAGTGTTTGGATTCCAGCTAGGTTTGGGTGTGGTCTGAGGTGGGAGAAAGAGGGTGTAATCTTGTAGGAACCTTACCGAAATATTCATGGTGAGGAGAAAGAAGAGTCCGCCCCTGCTGGGGTATTTGATTCAAGGAGGGAGGGATTGGTTGTTAAATAGTATTATTTACCTGGTTGGTATTTATAATTAACAGGATGATTATAATCAATCATTAGCCACGAATAAGGAAAAATTATTTACAGTATAACCCAGAATGCTATTAAATCAAGCTGTGGGATGCAGACTGTCTGGCCAGGAAGCCTGTTTTCTTATTTAAAACGTATTTTTATATAGGGGCTCCTAGGCAGAGGGCAGACGATCAGGGCACCTGGGACTTGCCATTTGAAGAAGGGCTTTTGGGCAACTCGGCCCCATACAGGCTTTACGGTGGGGGCCAGGTGGGCCCCCCAGGGGCTGGGCCACGCACCTCTGCAGCTGTAACGCTACCTGTTGTTGAAAAAGTCTAATAAAGATCGCTTAAACTCAGCCTGGTCTGGTTGATCCGAGGGCGGGGCGTGGGAGGAGGGGCGGGCCCGGGCGGGGGCGGGACGGAGCCTGGGACAAAGTCGCCTAGTCTGATTCGGGGTGGCCGCAGGGGGCGGGGCTCGCACTCCGGTCCTTGGGCTTCGGTCGGGGAGCGTCCGCTGGCCCCAGAGCAGGGAGTTCGGCGCTGCCTCCGCCGCCACCGGGTAAGGAGCTCGTAGGTCCCTCCAGGCGCCTTTCCCGAGCCCCGGCCCCACGGTGGGGCCAGGCTCCCTAGCTTTTACCCGTCTCCCAGCAGGTGGGCGATGGGTGCCTGGGGGCGTGTGGAGAGCGGCAGGGGGCGGGGCTGGAGACACCCCCTCCCCATGTGAAACTGCTAATTCGGCCAGGCCCACGCCGGCTGAGCCCGCTGCCCCCTGGGTGCACCGGTACGTCCCTGAACCGCGGCATCCCTGGCTCGGCGCGCGTGGCCTGGACCAGAAACCCCGCACAGGTGGCACCTCCACGTTCCCCCTGCTCCCACCCCGCTTAGCAAAACGGAGGCTTGGGGAGGGGGGCTGATCACAGACGCCGCACCCACCCCCTCCGGAAAGCAGAGGTCGGTTCCCTGCGGCCCCCACCCTCAGGGATCCTGGGGAGCCCGTCTGCCATCCCCAGCGGCCGCCTAGGCCTCTGCCTGCTCCCCCAAGTCTGTGACGTCTCAGCTTCCTCTAGGGAAGAACAGCTTTCGCTTTGGGCCTGGGTTTGCCGTCAGTTTTCAGTTTTTTCAACAACTGCCACTGGGTTCACCCACCAACTTTATCCCAAAGGAACAAAAGGAGTTCTCCAATCTCAGCCCCGCCCCAACCCCCCCGCATTTCTTTCCCTTCAAGAAATCAAACCTAACTTAGGTCTAGAAAGTCGCTGCTCTGTTTGTGTTTGTTTCTATGCATGAAAACAACTTCTGCTTTTGTTATTCTTAGAAAATGAAAGAAGTTGGAATGATGGGAGGTTTTTGAAACGAGAGAGACGACCGTATGTATAAACGAATCGTTTTCATTTACTTGCCAACTTTTATACAGGGCAGGAAGAAAAAAAGGTTAGATCCCTCTTTTCACCAAGAGGTGGGGAGTACAGGTGCAGAAAGTTGCACCCGACCATCAGGTGTCTTATGTTGGTTGGTTTTGCTTAATTGTTTTTCTTTTTACAAGAAAAGGCTCATTTCAGAAGGGTGCAGTTTATCCAGAAATTACATTTGCAAAACCAAAAAGCATCAACGAGACTTCAAAATAAAAAGGATGGAAATTAAAGTTTCACCTGTGTGAAACAGTAAGGGGATTGAAGGCGTTTGTGGCATTTTCTTACTTACCAATCTGGATAGAGAAGGGAGGAGGCTTTCAGGAAAATAGACAAAAAGCCAGGCAGCCTCTACAATCTTCTGGCTTAAGTTACAAGGACGAAAACTCATCATAAAACTTTGTTCTTTTCCCACAAGTGAAAATCTTCTTCATGATGGGTGAGACATTCTCCAGGTCTGGCTCTCAGGATGGTGAAAGCAAATCTATCCTGCCCCAGGACTCACCTGTTGGTAGTGAAGCCTCCAGTCAGTCTGTCATCAGTGGCGGCAACTCTGTTCTCTCCTGTGTGCCTTGTACAGGCTCAGCTGACTCAAGCTTTGTGACCTGCCCCACCTGCCAGGGGACGGGGGAGATCCCAAGTGGTGAGTTTTTCCCTTGCCTGAGCTTGTAACTTACCCTGTAAACCAATAAGAGCTTTCATAGAGCAAGCTGGACCTGAGTCTGGGTCCCTGTAGGTGTCCTGTGTCCATAGTTGGCCCTAACTTTTGGCTATCCATTCTTCATGGACAAGTAGATTCTGATGAGATTGCCCAAGCTGTAATCAGGGGGTTTTGTGCCTGGGGAGATGAAGGAAGGGGAAGATAAGAGACAGCTGTTACCTTGAGTGTTGCTCTGATTTCAGGAGAGACTCATGCTTTGAGATACTAGTGCTGCTCTTTAAATTTTAGTGCCCTAAATTAGTGAAGCATTTATTTTAAATTAATTGATTTTAGTTTCACTTCCACAAGATTTTGAGTTCCAAATTTTCTTCCCCATCCCTTCCCCCTCCCCACCCCAAGATGACTTGCATTCTGAATACCTCTTTTTCTGATCTGCCCTCCCTTCTATCACCCCTCTCCACTTCTCTTATCCCCTTCCCCTTCTGTTTTCCCGTAGGGCAGGATAGATTTCTATACCCCATTGCCTATGTATCTTATTTCCCAGTTGCATATAAGAATTTTTAAGATTTGTTTTTAAAATTTTGGGCTCCAGATTCTCTCCCTCCCTCCCCATCCACCCTCATTGAGAAGGCAAGCAACTAGATACAGGTTACACGTGTGTAGTCATGCAAGTGAAGCATTTATTTAAGCACTAGAAGGACCAGAATGTAAGAATAACTCGAAAGACCAACCTTCATGAATTGATAATAGGACAAAGATTTTTATTTCAAAGTAAAATTGTGATATCTACTTATAATTATCTTTAAAGTACATTTGCACAAAAAGAAAGAAAAAAATTTATCAAATATGTTTCTCTCTCAATTGACTCGCCTGATCCTTATGTGCTAGGCATTGTGCTAGAGACACAGATAAAAATGAAATAAATAGTCTCTGCCCTGAAGGAGCTTACATGGAGGAAAGGGGAAGAAATGTATACATATAAAAGTAGATACAAAATAGGCTTAATTTTTCTGGCAGACACTAGCATCTTGGTGCATCAGGAAAGGCCTCATGTAGTAGGTGATGACTGAGCTGACCTTTGAAGGGAACTGGATTCTGTGAGGCAGAAATAAGGAGGAGTGAATGAATTCCACTCATGATGGGACAGCAGAGGCAGGAGGTAGAATTGGGTGTGACGGATGCCAAGAAAGCCAATGTGGTTGGAGTGAAGAGTATATGAAGGGAAGATATATGCACTAATCTTGAAATGAAGTTTGGAGCGAAGTTGTGAATAGTCAAACATGAGTTTATACTGGATCCTAGAGAAGCCACTGGAGCTTATTATCTCAGTGCTTAGCACAGTGGCTGGTACGTAGCAGGCATTTAATAAATGATTACACATTATTGAGTTAGGAGAGTTATATGGTCAGACCTGTACTTTAGGCCTATCCCTTTGGCAGTTGTGTGGAGGAGAGGGATTGGAGGAGAGGCAGGGAGGCCAATTAGTAGGCTTTTTGCCGTAGCTCAGGCAAGAAGAGGTGATGAGGCCTGAACAAGGAGAATAACCGTATGAACAGAGACAAGGGAGATGGAGTCAAGATTTGGAGACAGAATCCACAAGACCTGAGCATTCATTGGAAGTGTGGAGTGAAGGAGAGTAAAGAGTGTAGGATGACTTGCATGGTTGCAAACCTGGGTGACAGCAAGGACAGTGGTACCCTTGACAGAAATAGAAGAGAGTTTGGGAAAGGGGTGGGTTTGGGGGTCAAAGATAATGAGTTTATCTTGACTCTGCTTACACCATAGCATGAGTTTCCAGGGGTGCATCCCAAAGTCTATTCTCCATCTGCCCTTAGAGGGTAAAATTATCCACATCTATGGCAAAGCTAACCCTTCAACCTGGAAAGAAGGAGGATAGATGATTTTTTTTACACTACGCAGAGAAATTGAAGGACTTTATAATAAATCAGAGTTCTTAACCTGGAACCCATGAATTGTTTTTTTTTCTTCCCTAATTGTTTAATAACCATATTTCAATATAATTTGTTTCCCTTGTAATCTTTTATATTTTACTTTATGCATGTAAAAACATTGTTCTGGGAAGAGGTCCATAGGTCTACATCAAGACTGCCAAACGAGGCCATGACACAAAAAAGGTTAAGAACCCATCTAGTTTGGGGTCTTTCCAGTAAACTCGAAGGCAAAGTCATTCTCTGAGGAGAATGGAAGTTTAGAATCCTTGTCAGGTTGGGTGATAGAGAAATCTCTTGTCTACTCTCTATCTTAAAGTTCCTTCTAGCTCCGTATTCTATCATCCTGTGGCTTAGAGGGATCTTTTCACAATGCAATTTGTTGAAAAAACTCATTTTGTCAGAGTAGAGCCAAGCTGTTGACTTTCAAGAGTTCCCTGGGACCCAAATTGTGCTGTAGGCTGAAGGTGGAATTGTCCTGCCCTTTTGTTATGTGGAATTGTGGAGGTTTCCTGAGGAGCTGGGATGTGAGGATTAGAATTAGTTATTTCCCAAGACCCCTTCCTACTACCTTTTTCTTTTTAAAAAATTTATTTAATTTTTAATTTATGGAATAAAATAAACATTTCCATAATACAGCATAATAAAAAAAAAGGTGATTGCACATGAAACTGCTACCTTTTTCTGTCTCTGCAGAGCTGGAAAAGCAGCTGGTGGCACTCATTCCATATGGGGACCAGAGGCTGAAGCCCAGGAGAACGTAAGTGCCCCCTGTTATTCATTCCACAGACTTTCACAAAGCCCCTCCTGTGTTACAAGGCTCTGTGCTGGGTGCTGAGTTGGTGTAGGAAATGAATGAGATATGATCCCTGTCTTCTAGATGCTTACAGTCTACTGTGGGAGATATACTCAAAATGGAATATGATATTAGTGAATTATATCTACAAAGAAGGCATGACAAAAGTTTAAGAGGAGGGAAATAGCTGACATTTTGAACTGATTTTTTTCTTTTTTTTTTTTTAAGGCAATTGGGGTTAAGTGACTTGCCCAGGGTCACACAGCTAGTACATGTCAAGTGTTTGGTCTGAGGTTGGATTTGAACTCAGGTCCTCCTGACTTCAGGGCTGGTGCTCTATCCACTGTGCCACCTAGCTGCCCCTTGAACTGATTTTTTAAAATTAAATTTTATTTGGTTCCATTTTAAGTTCCAAACAGTCTCCTTCCCTTCCTCCCTCACCCTGCACTAGAGAAGGCCACAATTTAAAACACACACATGTATGTATATGTATATATGTATAACATATGTAAAACCATACTATGCATACTTTTGTTTATCAGTTCTTTTCCTCAAGGTAGGTAGCATCTTCCATCATAGATCCTTTGTCATTGATTTGAGTGTTTATATACTCAGAATACTAAGAATAACTTAATTGTTCATGGTTATTCTTCAGATAATATTGCTGTTACCATATACAACATCTTGGTTCTTCTCATTTCGCTGTTCATTAGTTCCTGCAGATCTTTCCATCTTTTTCTAAAATCAGCCTGCTCATCATTTCTTACAGTGAACTGATTTTTGAAGGCAGTGTTAGGCCTACAAAAGATGGAGAGAGAAAGCTTGGACTGTTATAGGCATAGGGAGTATGAGGTCAGCAGAGTCACGGAGGTGGGAAAATGGGTGTGTTTGGGTAGTAGGTCTGCCTGTCGTATGAGGGGAGGTGGAAATGGCAAACTGGAACCAGGTTGGAAAACCTCAAATGCCAGGTTTTTGTTTCTGAGAGTGGGATGAGGGTGGGGGGACTCAGACAGGATTTCTTTGGTGTGGAGAGCTCTAGCTACTAGTGCCAGTCACATAGCCAGTGTCCTAGGAGAGACTTGAACGCCGAGTCTTCCCGAAGCTATGTGTTCATCTGTAACGTTTATGATGGTAATAATAAGGATGACGATGATGGCTTACATAGCACTTCCCATATGTTATCACATCTGGTCCTCACAGCAGCCCTGGAGGAGAGGTGGTATTGTTATCATCCCTATCTTACAAATGAAGACACTGAGGCAGAGTGAGATTAAATGACTCGTCCAGAGTCTCGCCACTCATAAGCGTGTGAGGCTGGACTTGAACCCAGGCCTAACTCCCAACTCTAGAACTCCATGCAGCATTTAGCACAGTGCCTAGCACATAGTAGGTGCTCAGTAAATGATTTTTTGACCCAACCATCCACTGTGCCACCTGGCTGCCTCTCCACCATATGAGTGCCAGGTTAAGGGTAGATAATGGGGAGTCTTTGAAGGCTTTTTGAGCCAGGGCTGTGACATAATCAGGGCTGTGCCCGTCTTGGACCCTGCTGCTCTCACTTTGGGGCAGTATCTCCAAAGACTCAGTGGTCTGTTCTCTCTCCTCCAACTCAAATCCATACTTCTCAGAGGACACTGCTTAAGATAGACCTTGACACATAGAGGGTTCCAGATGTTGAGGGTGACCCTCTGTAAAAACAGATCAGTACTCTCTGAAGTTCTTCTTAACCCTGTCCCTACTTTTAGGCAGTTCAGTAAAGATAGTATAGGGCAGCTAAGTGGTACAGTGGATAGAGGGCCAAGCCTGGAGTCAGGAAGACCTGAGTTCAAATCCTACCTTAGACACTTCCAAGTTATGTGATCCTGGGCAAGTCACTTCACCCTGTCTGCCTCAGTTTCCTCATCTGTAAAATGAGCTGGAGAAGGAAACACCAAACCCCTCCAGTATCTTTGCCAAGAAAACCCCAAGCTGGGTCACAAAGAGTTGTACACAACTGAACAACAAAAGAGATAGTTGTAGGCCTTTCCTGTTCTGAAAGACTTCCCTGGAGGCAAACACTCCGGCTACTTCCATCTAGTTACCACCTAATCCCTGTCCTTTCTATAGTCATTGAAACTTGATTGTTTTGTTGGCCATGGAGATGGACAACAGATGCTTATTCTTCCTTTGGAGGCAGTTGTTAAGCCTTGCCCCGTGATGCTGCTAATCGTGCCCCACTGGACATTCATCCCGTTGCAGTCCAGGCCAGTTGTCTCGAGTGGCGTTGGTAGCTGGACTGCTTCAGCGCTGCAGAGATCCTTTCTGACCCTTGTTCCTGCAGCAGGCACTATGGGCAGACCAGGGCTTTTTATAGGATGCCGGTGAGGCAAGCTCTCTTTGTTTTTTTTTTTTTTGAAGGAATTATTTTAAGTTACTCCCAGCAACAGCAGAAATATAAGTTTGTCATAATGTAAACATGAATACGTAACTAGTTTGCAGACTGCAGTACTTGCTTAGACTAGCGTCATTCATCACAAACCTTTAAGGGCCTTCACCGGAGATGGTGAACTAATTTGCCAAATGAGAGATATTTTTGGATGTGACGTGTGGGAATTTGTTTCGTTTGACTATATTTATGTGATACAAAGGTTCATTCTGTCTTTTCTTTCCTCCCTCTTCTCTTTCCTTGGTAGGTGGTAGGAGAAAAATGCTTGATAAACAGGGAAGGAAAAGATATCAGAATTTTTTTAAATTCCTTTTGAACTTAAATACAAAAGGACAAAAAAAAAACCCAAACCAAAAAACCATTTACATGTACAGCATAACACAAAAAGAAGATTCAATATGAAACCATGAATCTCCATTTCACACTGCTTACTTAAAAAAAAAACAAAACTATGTAATAAATACTGCACATTGTTCTCAAAACTACCCTGTTTTTCTGTACTTCCTTCTAAGTTTTTTTTTTTGTTCTCTGCTGTGTACTTTTTTTTTTCCCCTCCTTCTCTCCACATCCTGCACTAAAGAAGGCCGCCATTAAATACAGGTAGGGGTGTGTGTGTGTGTGTGTGTGTGTGTAAAACCATACTACACATGCTTCTATTTATCAATTCTTTTTCTCGAGGTAGATAGCATCTTCCTTCATAGGTCCTTTGCGGCTGATTTAAGTATTTATAATATTCAGAATAACTGAGTCATTCAGAGCTATTCTTTGAACAACATTGCTATTACCATATACCACATTCTTTGTTTCTGCTCATTTCTGTCTTCATTATTTTCTGCAAGTCTTTCCATGTTTTTCTAAAATCAAACAGCCCAGCCCATCATTTCTTACAGCACAGTAGTATTCTATCATAATCATATACCACAACTTGCGTAGTCATTCCCGAGTCGATGAACATCCCCATAATTTCTAGTTCTTTGTTACTACAAAGAGAGCTGCTATAAGGATTTTGGGACTTTTAAGTTCTTTTCCTTTTTCCCCAGATCACCTTGGGAAACAGACCTAATAGTGGTATTGCTGGGTCAAGGGTATACACAGCTTTGGACGTAATTCCAGATTGCTCTCCAGAATGGTTAGATCAGCCCACAGTTCTACCAGTAGTGTATTAGTGTCCCAATTTTTCTGCACCCTCTCCAACATTTGTCATTTTCACCTGTCATTTTAGCCAATCAGAGAGGTATTGGATGGTATCTCAGACATAAGAATTTTTAAAGGGCGCTGGACTAGGGATACAGAGATGAAAAATGACAGTGCCTGCCCTCAAGGAGCTTACAGTCTAGCATTTGGGTACACTTTGCCAGGCCCTCACACTGAAGCATGAGAAGCTTTAGTCTCTTTTCTGTTTGTATCCCTGGTGCTTAGCATACTGCCTGGCACAGTCAAGGTGTCTAACATGCTTGTTTGACTGGGAAATCATTTTGGTTGTAGTGAAACTGACCTCAGCAGTGATCCTAAAACTGGAAAGACCCCCCCCCCCTTCTCACAGGCTTCTTATGTTCTCTCCCCGACTTCCTCACCTTGCTTTCTCTACAGGAAGCTGTACGTTTCCCTGGCTGTGTTCACCTGCCTGCTGATGTCAACCCTCATCTTCTTCTTTCTGTTCCCCCGCTCCATCGTGGTACAGCCAGCTGGGCTAAGTTCTTCTGTGGTAGCTCTTACTGATGATGTCATCCTCCTCAATGTGACGGTATGTTCTATCTGGGTATCCTCTGGTTAACTGATTTTTTTCCAGCCTGCTGTTCAGTACTGTCACTCTGGGTCAAGGTGGGGCTGGTCAAGTCATTGACCCTAATCCTCTGGTCAGCAAGTCCCTTTAGGTGAGGATTGAGAACTTGTTGAAAAGGCAAAACTCAGATTTGTATCGGAGTGGAGGAAAGGGCATGTTGTGAATTGTAATCAGGGAAGGTAGGGAATCCCAAAGGCCTAGAGAGAACACATGACCAGTGAAAGTGGGTCATGAAACGGTTTTGCCTTTTAGGGAAAGCAGCCATGATCTTTAGACCATTTAGTGGCTTAAGAGAGTTTCTTATGGATTCCCCACTTATGGGGTCCCTGTACAGCTTGAGAACTGACATTTAAGGGTGTCAGACTGCAGGGTTATTAAACCGTTTGCATTCAGACAGAATCTGGCTCCAGTCCTCATCTGCCATGGGGATGGTTGGTTGGCCTCATCTCTCTCTCTCTCTCTTCTCTCTCTCTCTCTCTCTCTCTCTCTCTCTCTCTCTCTCTCTCTCTCTGTGTCTCTGTCTCTGTCTCTCTCTGTCTCTCACTCTCTCATTTTCTTCTTTAGAATGTCCTCAACATTACCAACAACAACTACTACCCCATCACTGTAACCCGGCTCAACATCGAGGTACTCCACTTGTCACTTGTCGTGGGGCACATGGAAGAAAGCAACCTTTGGCACATTGGCCCTTTGAGCAGTGAACAGGTGACTCTCATCCCCTGCTATCATCCCTTGAGTTGGCTAACCCTGCCCACCAGGTGTGTTGTGGGCAAAGGTAGAGCATGATAGCTGTGGCTGACAGTACGCGTTTCATTGGCAGATATTCTATGAAGTCACCAGCAAGATAGCTGATGAAAACACACGGTGAGTATTACAAAAAAAAACAAACAAACAAAAACCCTCAAAACTTTTTCCCCTTACCCAGAAAAATGAGTTAACCATTAGAAAGCATTCTAAGGGACAGTTTCCAAATGGAACTGGGCTTCGAGTAGTATTAAAAAAAATAACCTAAATTTTTTTAACTCTGGGTACTTTAGGAACTATTAAGCAGTTGTTTGTCCATGAATTTGCACCCGATCTGTGGCAGAGCCTTCTGAGCTCATATTGGTCTGATTAGCCTGGTTGGACACCCTGTACCTTAACCCTGAAATTATGACGTCATTTTGGTCCTCTTCAGGCATGAAGTTCAACAAGCAGAAGCGATTCAGGAAGACTGTCCTTGGGGAAGGATGCTGGTGTAGGCTGAAGGGTGTTGTGCAGATGTTTTTAGGGTACCTGGTAGAAAGGCCTGGGGGAGGGGGAGGTTGGTATTACAAAGTCAGTTTCAAAATATTAGAGCTGGGGATGACATAAGATGGGAGCAAACACAGACATCCCCTGCCTCCAAGAGCCCTCCCACATCTGCCTACCAGTGTCTTCTTGGCTGGTGGTGGCAGGTTAATATAGCATATGGTACAAAGGGGAAGTGGTCTGAAGACTTGAGAGGCTAGGGATGCACCCATATCCTCTCCTTACAAGACACGCTTGCTACTATAAATAATAACCAGGGCATGTGTCTGTGTGTTAATCTCTCAGCAACATCTGTACCTGGGGGAAAATCAAAGTCCATAATGTACTTCAGCACATACAGTAAGTATGTTTTGGGGCAAGAGCTTTGCCTCACTTTCCCTTCTGCACCCCCTCACCCCCACCCTGCCACCTCCTGTTCTTTTTAGTCCCATTTTACAGATAGAAAACTTTCTGGCAGGGAAGGATTTGGGGCATAGTGGGAGGGACGACTGTTGTGATTTTGTAATGCCCTTTGGATTAGAAGACCCCAGCTCTCTTTTCAGGCCTTAATTTTGCTCTTAAGATATATGCGTACATCTTCCCAGAGGCCCAGTGGTTTATTGGAAGCTAGAATGGGGGAGGTGGAGTTGTTGCCATCCCATGGTTCCCCTGAGAGCCCCGGGTTGGTTGGCAGAGTGCCCTGAATGGCAATGAGAGCACAAGTTAGGGGGAGGTGGCCTCAGAAGGCCTCTTGGCCTTCTTGGAGGTGAAAGACTTCCTGCCCAACGGGGCCATAATGGCCTGTTTCCTCTCCAGGGGCACCCTGACCTGCTCCTACCTGAGCCATATAGAGCAACTGGCTTTCCAAAGCTACGACTACGTGGATTGTAGGGGGAATACATCACTCCCTCACTCACTGGTCCCTCACCCACCATGATGTTGCCTGCTGTCCACAGCTCCCTGATCTCCTGCCTTCCTGTTATTGCTTTCATCTGCCAAAGGACTGGATTCCACTGGTTATTTATTCCTTTATTTTTTGGTCCATGAGTGAAGAACCCAGCTTTGTTCTTCTTTCCTCACCCCCTGGATTGCCTGTGGAAACAAGGTCCTGGCAGTACCAGGAGCTGCCAACAGTGATTCTAACCTGTCTCAAGGGCCTCTCACCAGACCAAATAGTACCCAGGAGAAAAGGCTGGCCTAAGATATTCTCCAAGTCAGGGTCTCTGTTCCAGTGGCAACTCCTTATCCTGCTCCCCTACAGGAAAACACAGAGGCTTCCTGTTCTTCACACACTTCCATGGTTTTGTTTTTTTAAACCAAAATTCTACACTGAATGAAGACACAGTGATGATTGGGTTCTTAGCTGTCTGTGGAGACAGCTGTGGTTTAATGTGACTTTTTTTTTCTTTTTTCTTTTTAGCAAGTGCACTTTCAATTTGCTCCTTCCTGCTAAATGAGAGGAAGGGCTTTGGGATCTAATATGCCTCAGACTGTGGAGAGTTAGGGAGCCCCTCTTCTTTGTGGTGGAATTGTGGGCCTATTCAAAAATCTTGATGATGGATCTTGGGAAAAGTAAAAGATGGGAAATACAGTTACACATTGGTAGTTACCCTGGGCCTGTATCTGCTGGATTGCCTCATTTAAGAGACCCTATGAGTTTTCTTCCTGTTAACACCTGCCAGTTGTTCCTGGAGCATGTGGCTAGAAACTTCAGAGCACTGAATCATGTAAGAGGATTAAAATGGCAGTACAGCCAGGGCCTGCATTTCCCTTAGTACTTTGTACGCTGCCAACAAAGTGGGCGAGTCGGCCAGGCTGCTGTAACTCTGAGGGGGGCAGTCCAGAGGTATTCTACACAGGCCATTGGTTCCTAACTGCCCAGTATGCCTCACTTAAGAGTTCTCTCTCTGTTTTTGCTTCAGCTAACACTCCTCTCCTGCTTTGTAAAAATTGCCATATTCAATTCCTCTGAAGCCAGTGTTGAGTCAGTCATGAAGCCTCAGGGACAAGGGCTCCCCTGGGATTTCCACAAAGTACAGGGAAGGCATGACCTTTATAGCTTTTGAACCAATGCTGAAGCCGCTTTCAAAATATAAAAGGAAGACAAGCAAGCAGGCAGGTCTGTGGTGTCTCCTTGGTGGTTTTATCTCAGTTCTGTTTGAAAGGCTAACCTCAGTGGTAGAGATAGGGGTTTTACTGCCACTGACTAGCCTTGACCTGTTACCTGAACCTTCAAAGGAGAGGAAGGGTGTCATGGTTTGGGTTTTTTTTGTTTTATTTTTTGTTTGTCTTTTTTGGAGGGGAGGAGGGATGGGTGGATCCAGCTTCAAAATGGATTTGTCACATCATGAGGCAGGACACAAGGCGCTGTTGAAGACAATCTCTCTTCTCAGGAATATCTGAGTTGGTCCTTACCTCATGTCAGGGCTTCCCCAGACTCTTCAGGGATGATCTTTTCCAGAGACTTTTTGACATATGAAGTTAGGGGATGGGGGGAGTAGGGGGAGAGGGATTTATCCTCACCCTTTCCTTCTTTCTGTTATGAAGTGTGAACTAAACTGAAGCCTAAAATAAATCGCCAAGACTGGCCTGTAAGTCAGGGTAGTTTCTGTGTTGATTTCTTGGCCTGGGGTGGGGAGTTGGGGGGAAAGCTATTGACACACTTCAGGCCAGGTGAGAGCTTACTGAGGCTCACCTCCAGGGCCAGCAGGCCTATCTGTTCCAGCTCAGATGCTGACCTAAGGCAGAGCAGCTTTTCAGAGGAGTGCCACTGACCTGTATGTAAACAGGCTCTTGTCCTTCATCCCCCTAGTGCCTTTGGACTAGGAGAGGAAAAGATGCCAGTACAATTCCACTGTCTCCCTCTCCCTACCCCACTGCATAGCTCAAAAAAAAAAAAAACCCAACCAACAAGTCACCTGCTGGCCCAGTTCAACAATCTGCCCAGGATTCTTGTGAGAAAAATATTATGTAAACCTTAGAGTGCCATTTGAAGGTTAAGAAGTTAGGATGAGACTCTAGGCATGTACCGGTGGTGGCAAACTGGGGGATGGTTTGAGGACCACCCGACAAGGCTCCCAGAGGCCTACTTCTCTTGTTTGGTTTTGTTTGTGGATGGGAGGGAGCGGCATCCCAAACTCCCATCCAGTTCTCCTCCCCACTGCCCCATGTACATGTAGCAAGAGTCTCCTTTGTCATTCCAAGAACAATTTCTTTATTGATGCGTGGTGTTATCCTCAGTGTTGGGGAAAAGATTTGTTAAGGGAAAGTTTTAGATGCCAACTTCGTTGATTACTGATTGGTTCTCATCTCCTGATGAACAACAGTATGAGGCTGGGTCCTCTCTTCACTACCACTGCTGGACATACTCCATAGCCTGAGGGAGGGGGCAAGCAAAAGTTAGGTACTTACTGAGCTCGATGGAGGGCTAGACTGTTTTAGCATGGAGTCAGGAAGACCCAAGTTGGAATCCTGCCTCAGACACTACTGATGAGCTCTGTGATCCTGGAAAAGTTCATCTTTATTTCTACCTCAATTCCCTCATCTATAAAATGGATTAAATAGTAGCACCTAATCACTGGGTTTATCTCTTGTTTGCCGCAGTTTCCTCATCTGGAAAATGAGCTAGAGAAGGAAATGGCAAACCATTCCAATATCTTTGCCAAGAAAACCCCAAAACAGGGTGTCGGAGAGTTGGACACGACTGAAAAAACAACTTGATGACAATCCTGGGTTCAAATGAGCCAATAATTGTAAAGCACTCAGTCCAGTGCCTGACATGTAGTAAATGCTATATAAATGCTAGCTATTATCATCAAATAAGGGGATAGACATCAAGTGCTTTACAGACCTTCAGGGGCCCTTCACAGCATTGTGCTAGGCACCAAAGGATAAAGGCATATAAGAAGATTAGGCAGGGCAGCTAGGTGGCTCAGTGGATAGATCATTAACCCTGGAGTCAGGAGGACTTGAGTTCAAATCCAGCCTCAGACCAGACACTTGACACTTACTAGCTGTGTGACCCTGGGCAAGTCACTTAACCCCGATGGCCTCACCAAAAAAGAAAAAAAAAAGATTAGGCAACAACCTAATCTGTATCTTGAAGGAGCTTAAAATCTGTTTCCTCTCATCCTTTCTTCCCTTCCTGTCTCTAAAAAAGAGGGGCCCTCCCTTTGGAAAATGTATCCTTCCACCTGTTTTCTTCCCGTGTTCTCATATTTTTGTCTAGTATTTCAAATAATTAATTATCGCATTCTTTTGCATCCAGTTCTTTAGTTTTTCCCTCTTGAGCCACTATGTGTTCCTTTCCTCCCACCCACCAATTTGTCCAGCTGTCACTTGCCTTGAACCTTCTTTGTAGCTACATCTCCTTTCTAGACTTTGGTGGTAAGGAGTTGTCTATATGCTCTAACCTCCCTTTTCCTCACCACTCACATTGCCTTGCAATCAGGCACCAATAAAAAATATATACATATGTACTTAATATCTTGTTTTTACATCACTTCTTCCCTCTCCCTCACCCAGAAAGCCATCTTTTATAATAGAGAATTTTTAAAAGTGAGGGGGGGAGGGGAAACAATTCAGCAAAACTAATTATCACACCAACTGAGTATTATGTGTGGTATTCCACATCTTTCAAAGTGGGGGTGGGGTGGGGTGCATCTTTATCTTTCTTCTTCAGGGCCAAGTTTGCTCATGATAATTACACATTTTTTATAGAGGTGGGGCATTTCATCAGGCCTCATCTACTTTGTTCTTTCTGCCATATTCAACTCTTTGATCACTCCTCAAAACCTGGAACACTTCCCTTGAATTCTTCCAATTCTCCATCTGTAGGCAATTAATCCCTACCTTTTGTTGTAATCTCCACCTACAAGCTTAAATTAAATCCATATGATTCTGGGACCAACCTGACTCAGGGACCAACCCTAGGGGCAGGGTGTAATTAATTAGGTAATTAGAATTAGAAGATGCCATCAAATCCAGCTCCACTACTCACTGTCAGTGTGACTTTGGGTAAGTAGAGGCAATCTGCTGGAGATGGGAGAGGACAGGATCATGGGTATATACATATGTAGAGGGGCCGGTCTTGGAGAAGAGCCTCCACTCTCCTCCCTTGGCAATCTGTTTGAATCTGGATCACAGCTAGAAGGGGCCTTAAAAGCCATTTAGTCCTATACTCCACATTTATTACCACTCCCCTGGCTAACATTTAACTCTCCCTGAATGACTCCAAAAATCTCCAGTTCTTGCTGCTTCTGCTGAGCCTCCGTCCTGCCCTGTTCAACGAACAGTTGGACATTTCCATCAGGATGTCCTGTTATCATTTCCAATGTATCTAAAACTTAACTAGTCATCTTTTTGCCCAAATTAACTTTCTTCATACTCCCCATTTTCTTTTCCTTCCCATCCCTTCTTCCCTCTCTTTCCCTTCCTCTCTCCCTCCCTTCTCCCTCCTTTTCTCTCCCTCTCCTTTCCTCTCTCCTTCCCTTCTACCTTCCCTTCTTCCCTTCCTCCCTCTTTCCCTTCTCTCTCTCCTTCTTTTCCTTCCTTTCTTCCTCCCTTTCTTCCTTCCTTCCTCTTTCTCTCTTCTCCCTCCCTTCCTCCTCTCTCCCTCCCTTCCTCCTCTCTCCCTTCCTTCCTTCCTCTCTCCCTCTCTCCTTCTCTCCCTCCCTCCCTTTCTCTCCTTTCCCTCTTTCCTTTCTACCTTCTTCCCTTCCTCCCATACTTCCTTTTTTCCTTCCCTCCCTCCCTTTCTTCCTCCTTTCCTCCTTTTCTTCTTTTCTTTCTTCCTTCCTACCATCTTTCTTTTTTCTCTCCTCTCTTTTCTCTCCTCTCTTTTCTCTCTTCCCTTCTCTCTCTCTCTCTCTCTCTCTCTCTCTCTCTCTCTCTCTCTCTCTCTCTCTCTCTCTCTCTCTCTCTCTCTCTCGGCGTGCTAACCCTCTCCCCTTCTTCCTTCCTTCCCTTCCCTCCCTCCTCATACTTATTTCTTTTCATCTCCATGACATCTTTTGTAAATACCCAGCCCTTGGTGTCTTCCTCCTTTGAACCCCTATAATACTTACCATCTTACTTACTGCTCATGGGGTACTTAGTGTCTACCTCGTGCATCAGTGTTCACCTTTCTTTTGTAGCTCTTCTGCGTTTCTGAGACTATAAGCCTTCTGAGGGCCTTTTTCCTCTGTATATTCCTAGTGTCTGCTAGGATGGTGCCTTACACATAGAACATGCTCAGTAACTCTTTGATGGTGATGATTTGAGGACCATTGCAAAGAACTCCCCTCCCTTGTCATAGCAAAGTGACAGGTGATAGAGCCAGGTGCTCCAGAGAGGGGATTGTAATTTGAGCTACTCATGGATGAGAAGTGTATGCATTGTCACTTGTCCTTTCTCTCCCCTTACAACTTCACACTTTCCTAGCATCATAGATTTAGAGGTGGAAGGGATCCTAGAGGTGGGTCATCTAGTCTAATGCCCTTGTTTATAGGTGAAGGAACTGGGGCCCAGAGAGGTTGAATGATCTGCCCAGGGTCACACAAATCATAGCGGTAGAGTGCAGATTTGAACTCCAAATCCAGCACTCTTCACAATTCATTCTCACACTCATTCTCTGTCCCGTTCTTACCGTGTATCTCTTTCCACGTTTGGGATGGCGAAGAGTGTCTGGGGCATCTGATAGTGGGGGTTGAAATGAGATAGAAAGCATAAGTTATTGTCTACATAGAGTCATTCATTTATTCAATGATGTATGGTTGCTACTGTTGCTAGCTGTAGAAGGAGGGCTAGCTGACCTGTACGATTTTTTACTCCAAATCCCATAGTACTGTATGTAAGGAACTGGTAAAGATAGTTACTTAAGACACAGTTCATCTGCTTCATAGAATTCACACACAAATCATCAATAACTATTAATAATAGTAATAGCTAATCAGCATTAATTTAGAATGGGCTCATTGCTAGAGTTGGCCACCTAGTGACAATTGTTTTAGTAATTCATCCCATCAGATACTAAGGCTTAGAAGGACTAGAGTCCTTATTTTCATGCAACGAGCACTCATTAAGCACCTACTATGTACCAGGTTCTGGAATGGATGAAGGGGAAATAAAGACTAGACAAAAATCACCCCTGCTGTCAAAGAGCTAACAACATTCTAACGGGAAGGAGAAGGGAGAAAACAAACATTTACACACATAAAAAATATAAAATATATACAAAGTCAGTACCAAGTAGTTGTGGGGAAAGGGTACTGGCAACTGAGGGGATTAGGAAAAGCCTTGTGTAGGGGATGGCTTGAGTTTTGAAGGAAAAGAAAGATTTTGAAGAGGCAGAGGTAAGGAGGGAGTACACTTCAGACATAGAGGGAGAGCTCATGCAAAGGCACTATGTGAGGGAGTAACCACAGATGAGGTCATAGAATCATCAAGTATGAAAGTCCCAGGAAAAGAAGCCAAGGGATTCAGGAAAGGTTCTTAGGAAGGGTTGGCACTTGAAGGTGCAGTCTATTTCAACAGTAAGGACAGAGAGGTCTTCTAGGCTTAGGGAATGGGGTGAACAAAGAAATGGATGGAGATAGGAAAGCCATAAATGAGTTAGGAGGGAAGAGGAGTAGCAAAGCAAGGAAAGTAGTGTGAACTAAGGCTAGAAAGTGAAGGTCCCAGGTCATAGGGCCTTGAATTCCAGGCTGAGACTTTAGATTTTGGTTAGTAGCAAATGAGAAGCCTACCGGAGGATTTGGTCAGAGTAGAGATAAAATGGAATCAGGAAGATTCTAACAGCAGTTCATAGGATGAGTGGAGGAGATGAGTTTAGAGGCTGATGCTATAGAGGCTGGGTCTAGAATCAGCAGAAATAGAAAGGAGAGGACAAATGAAGATGATCACAGAGTATCTGACACTTGATTGGATATAGAGTGAAAGGGCAGAACCGAGGAGACTGAATTTCCAAGTCTGGGTGTGAATTTCCTAGGAAATTCTCAAAGAACTCTTAGATCAGCTCCCACTCTAAACTGTTTTTTGTCCTAATATAGTGTTGCTTTGTCTAACTACTTTCCCTGCCATCTAAACATCTCCCCAAACTCTCTGTATTCCTTCTCTCTCCTCCCTAAATCCAGGGTTCTTTCCCCCAGGGTGCCTAGTTTGTATTTATTTCTCCATCTACACATTGCTTCCTCTCCAATAGAATGGAGATTTCTTGAGGACAAGGACTGTTCTGTTGTTTCTGTTGCATCTCCCTTTGCTTAGCATAAGCACCTGGCAATCAGTAAACAGATATTTAAGTTCCTACTATGTGCTAAGTAGGAGGGATAAAAAGAAAGGTGCTCAAGGAGCTCCCTGTCTACACAGTAGGTGCTTGAGAAACAATTGATAAGCAGTGATTTTTCATCTTTCAGGTCCTACAGGCAGATACAAACACTTAGGATGGGCATGTCTGTCTAGAGGCTAGGGAGTTGAGTAACTTAATCTTCCCTAGGGCCTGAACCCCTCTGCCCAGCCTAACTCCCAGCCCCCACACCCCCAACTCCAAGGACAGTTCACTTACTGTGTCTGGGCTCTTGGGAGTGATGAGCAGCTTGCTGGTAACCCAAGGTATGAATTTTGTGATGGTGGTGACCAGTATGGTGTCCAGTGTGACCTTGGTCTTTGCTCTGGCGCTGGCTCTTGCTCTGTTCCCGGTCCCGGATCTGGCTCTTGGTGTGGCGCTGGCTTTTGCTCTGGCATAGGTCCCGGTCTCGGTTCCGGTCCCGACTCTTGCTCTGGCCCAAGTCCTGGACTTCATCCTGCTCCTCGTCCTGTTCTTCATCCTGGACGTGGCTCCTGCTCTGATGGTGGCCCTGACCTTGGAAGTGACACTGGCATTGGCACATGCAGTGGCCCACCGTCGGGAGTTCAGGAAACACGTAGCCGCCTCTTGAGTCTTCTGGAGATTCTCCAGTGATGTACGCCCCCAGGTTCCGATGGGAGGTCTCCGGGCTCCTGTCGCCATACACGTATTCGCGCTCAGGGCTCAGAGAGTGATACCGCTGATAGGGTTCAAGCCCCATGCAGTATCTTTGTTCCTCCAGGTCATTCTCTATCTTTTTGTTCTTCATTTCCTGGGATGTCCCAGAGACCTGGCTTCAGCACCCAGTACCTCACTTTCCATAGCCAGGACTGTGCTGATGGTGAGTGGGGTGACTAAGCAACCTCCTCCAGCCCCAGCTAATGCTACCATTCCAGGGTCCTCCTGAGCTCCCAGAGAGGGGTGGAGAGGGGTGGGTTAGAATAGGGAGGTGGGAGAGGGGATGAGCTAGTAAGGAAAATAACTTTCAGCAGTGAGTATAATTTAAAAGCTCACAATCCCAGAGCTTAACTTCCCTTAGTACTTACCAAGGGTGGGAAACCTGTGGCCTGGAGGCCACATGTGGCCTTCTAGGTCCTTGGCCTTGTGTGGCCTTTTGACTGAGTCCAAGTTTTACAGAACAAATCCTTTTATTAAGGGGATTTGTTCTATGAAGTTTGGATTCAGTTAAAGGTCTGCACTCGAGGACTTAGAAGGCCACATGCGGCCTTGAGGCTGAAGGTTCCTCATCCCTGACCTAACCTATGGTCTGGATCACATCATAACCAGCTGAGTCAACAAAGATAATCAGGGAGAGGAAAATCCAGGAGGAAACCCCAATGCAATTCAGTAAACATTTATTAAGCACCTATAGCATGCAAGGCATCATGCTCCCAATGAACTGGCTTCTCCCCTCTCCCTGTTTCTGCCCCATCCCCAATGTGGAAATTCATTGCTGAGAAGCAATTAGTAGGGCCCCCTTCCCCAGCCATTCCCAACTATGTGTACTTTCCCCCTTCTGATAGTTAAATCTCTTCCAAATCCGTAACTCAGCTACCCTGCTGCCTTTGGGATATTAAAGATACCTGGGGAAGAGATTAAAGGAGAGAGATACTCAGGCGGTCCAGGTTTCCCTTAACCTACCTGTTGAAGCTGGTAGTGTCTTCTCCGGTCTAGAGCCATCTGTCTTCTCCGGGCTTCCCAGTGATAAGCACTGGCCATGGTGTTGGAATTTGGGGAAGGAAAGAAGAAAGGAGAGGAAGGTAAGGAAAAGAGGAAAGTGGAGGGGAAAGGAGAAGGGAGAAGGGGAGGAGAGGAAGGGGGGGGAAGGTGGGGAGGGGGAGGGAGAGATGGGAAAGGAATGGAGGACAAAAGAAGAAGGGAAAAAAGGGGAAGGGAAAGGAAGAGGAAGGAAGGTTAGGGAAAAGGAAGGGAAAGGAAAAAAAGGGGAAGGGATGGGAGAGAGAAGAAAAGTCACCACTTTTTCCACCACACTGGCCCCTCCTCCATTAAAAAAAAAAACCTGTTCAGGCTGGCCTGTAACCAGAGACACCTCACAATGTAAACTGCTGTCAGGGCAACTGGGATAGAGGGCGTGTATGTGTGTGTCTCTGGGTGGATGGGGGGAGGGAATATGGGGAAGGACTGCTTGTCTCCGTTTCTGGGCCTAGAGGTATATACATGGTGTCTATCTCTTCCAGTTTCTTGAGAAAGTAAATCCCAGATTCCATCTGGTTGATTGGCTCCCTCAGAAACACTACAGCCTTGAGGAAAAAGTCTCAAGGAGGCAGGCCAAGCCAGGCTGCTCCTTTCAGTGTCCTTCCTGGTCTCTCTTTCCTCCACATCTTTACACTGGGGCATGAATTCTGCAAGCCACATTCCCTTTAATGTATGAATCTCCTCTTAGGGAATTTACATTTTAAAAGAGTCTGGCCAACTTAAATGAAACTTTATTTGATGGAATTTAAAATTTTGAGCTATAACAAAGGAGAGATGATGCAGTTCAATGAACATACATTCGATTCAACAAAGTGCAACAAGCATTACATGCCTACTACATTCTAGGTACTTTGCTAGGTGCAATGGGGTACAAAGTATTAAACAAATGCCCTCAAAAAGCTTGTATTCTGTGGAGGGAAAACGATGTACATATATCAGTAAGTACAATTTTTGAAAAATAGACCTGTGATCTCATCAGTGTATGGAGTGCTGGGTGAGGAAATTCCTCTACCAATAAATGCAATTAGCAGACTCCTTACAACTCACAGTCTTAAGCCTGGAGCTCTGAGAAAGGTCAATTGACTTATTCACTCTGGATCACATGCCTGGTGGGTGGTAGGGGACTTGAACCTGACTCCTACAAAATACAAAATGCATACAAAGTGAAGACCAAGTGATTTGGGGCCAAGGAAGGCCAATAAATAACTGGGAAAGACCTCTCCTCCGAGGTACACTCGAGCTGAATTTTGAAGAAGCCAGGGATTCTAAGAGGTGGATGTGAGAAACAGTCTACGCAAAGAAACACAGGCTGGAGGCAGCTGGTGGCACAGTGAATAGAATACCTGCCCTCCAGTCAGAAGGATCAGAGTTCAAATCCAGCCCTCAGACGCTAACTGTGTGACCCTAGGCAAATCACCTAATTTCAATTCCTCCTTCCCAACCACCCCCCAAAGAAAGCGTAAGATTGGGTGAAGAACAATTTGTCTGAAGCAGAAAGTGTGAAGGAAAGATACACGCAGTCAGCTTGAAATGGTAGGTTGGAGCCAAACTAGAAAGGGTTATAAAAAGTCAATTAGACTTTGAGTATTTTTATCCTAGAAGTAATAGGGAGACCCTGGAGCTTCTTGTGCGCAGCTACATGATCTACTGTGTTTAAAGGACTGTGCTTTATACAGGAAGGGAGGGAGATAACAAAATTTACTCACAGAGTTTGCAGTCTTGAAGGAGAAAAGACAGATAAGTATAAAACGCAATAATACCAGGTAAATGCGTCACAGAGGTATAAAACAAAATGCTATATGGAAGGGGAGGAGGAGTTATTATAACTGGAGAGGTCAGGGAAGGTTTCGTGAGGAGGTTGCATTTGAATCGGGTCGCGCTCCAAGCAGCAGTGCGCTACTCCTCCAGCAGTGCCCCTGGCCGCGGTGGACAGCCCCGAGGCCAGGGAGGAAGTGAGCGAATCCAGCGACGTGGAGAGGAGACCCCGAGGGCTCCCAGATCAGCGCGAGCACAAGCTATTATCAGGACAATGTTTATTGGAGGGTTAAGCTGGGATACAAGCCAAAAAGATCTCACCGAATACCTGTCTCGTCACGGGGAAAACCGAGTGCCTTCGCGTCTATGCTTTTCAAAGATGCTTCCAGGGTCGATAAGGTCCTGGAACATAGAGAATACAAGCCGGGTGGCAAGCTGGTAGACCTCAAAGGGGCTAAAGCTTTACAGGAAAAAGAACTCACTGGAAAAAAAAAAAGCATTTGTGGGTGGGCTGAGCCCGCATACCTCTGAAGAAGAAATCAAAGAATATTTTGGAGCATTCGGAGAGATTGAGAATATTGAACTTCCTATCAACACAAACGCAAATGAAAGAAGAAGATTCTGCTTTTATTACAGATACAGATGAAGAACCAGAAAAGAATTATTAGGAAACAGATACCATCAGCTTGCTTCTGGGAAGTGTGAAATGAAAGCTGCCCACTGTGCAGGCAGTAACATCAGTAACAGAAAGGAGGGAGAGGTGCTGCACAGCTGGCAGGGGAGGTGAGACTAGGGGGTCGTGGCCCAAGGGCAGGGCCAAAACTGGAACCAGAGATTTAATAACTATTATGACCAGACACTTACTAGCCAAGTGACCCTGGGCAAGTCACTTAATCCTGTTTGCCTCAGTTTCCTCACCTGTCAAATGAGCTGGAGAAGGAAATGGCAAACCACTGCAGTATGACTGAACAATGATCAAGGATACTCTTCATGACCCCATTTGTGGTTTTCTTGGCCAAGATACTGGAGTGGTTCGCCATTTCCTTCTCCAGCTCATTTGACAGATGAGGAAATTGAGGCAAACAAGGTTAAGTGAGTTGCCCGGGGTCACACAGCTAATAAATGTCTGAGGCTACATTTGAACTCATGAAGATGAGTCCAAGACTAGTGCTCTGCCCACTGCACCATCTAGCTGCCCGTAGCTGCCCAGGATGGTAATCAAGACTATAGTGGTTATGGCAGATATTATGCTGGATATAACTATGGGAACTATGGATATGCAGACTACATTTCCAAGGGGGTGGTAATCACCAAAGCAACTACCACCCATATTAAAGGAGGACATGGAGAAAACAGGTACAGATACTACAGCAACCTATCTTGCAGGATAAGGACACTGAATGGAGAGTGGTCTTCTATTGATGTGGGATGACTATTTTGTAAAAGACCTTTACTGTACAGGACACAGCTGTGTCCATTTGTATATAGCAGCCCATTTAGTTTTCTTGTTTTTACTTTATTCTTTGTCATCTGTGTTACGACAAATGTGGATTTGTATTTATATAAATTTTATTTGTATCATTTCATGTTAAATGATTCTCAAAAATAAATTACTTGTGATTGTTTTTCTATGTTAGATACTCGAGAGCTCTGTAACTATGTAATTTTAAATAAGCAATATCTGAGGCCCACTTTATTTCCTAAGAAGTCATGGATAGTGGGGAGAACAGTGGCCCTTTATAAATAGCAAGCAACAAACTTTGCCTTAGCTTCCTAATTCCCTTGATGAGATCTATGCTAAGGATTCGTGTCCATGTTTGAAATAACCATAGGTCCTAGTAGGCAACTGAACAGTGTTTGTACCCCATGTGCATTCTTGTGATGGAGAAGTGTTAATTCAGCATGTTAGGAGTAGCTGAAATTGTTTCTATTCAGGCCATAGATCCCTTGATTTTCATTTTCAAGAGGAACAGCTTTTTACTATGCACCATAAAATAAGGCATAATTAATAACTTTTTATGATTTGACAAGATGTTTTGAGCCTATTTGTAAAAAACAAAATAACAACCCCAAATCACCCGTCTATTATGATATTTGACGCTTGCATTGAATGTGAGTGTAATTCAAATTGCATATTCCTATACCCATTGAAACTGGATCGAAACTGAAATTGAAACTTGCTCAAAATAATGCAGAGCAAAATTAGCTGAATTAAGAGAATATTGTATACAGTAACAGCAATATTGTTTTAAGAAAGAATTTGAATAAGTTATTTTGACCATTATATACACCCAAATTAACTATAAAGGACATATGAAGAAAGACACTGTCTTTCTGAACTGATAAATAGAAGTATGTATAAAAATACATACCTATTTGTGTCTAATGTAGCCATCTCTAGGGCAGGGTGGGGGAAGAAAAAAATTTACATGATAATTTTGTTGTATATTTGAAAGGAATAGCAAGTTGTGCATAGTAGATTTGCAGTTACATATGTGATCTTTTTTTTTATTATACTATGTTATGGAAATGCTTGTTTTATTTGATAAATTAAAATTAAAATTTAATAAAAATGAATGGTGATAATCAGAAAAAAAGAAACTGGATCAAAGATTAACATGGGCAAGATTTTCATTATAGAATTGTTAAGTAAATGAATTGTACTTTGAAGAAATAGTGCATTACGTCACTGCTACTGCCACACCATCAACAGCTTTTTCTTGTTGGAACACATCATTGGAAAGCTTTAGGATAGCTTAGTCTTTTGTCATGAAAGCAAAAGGAAATCCCATAAACTTATCTATTGTTTTGCACTCTAAATAAAGGTTATTTTTCCATTTTTAAGTGATATTAATAGTGCATCTGCACTGAATAGCAAAGAATTTCCATATTTAGATAAAGGGAGGAGAGATATGTGGTAACTAGAAACTTAAAGCCTTATTTATGTGACATATTCTGTATGGTTGGTTGCAGCAGGGCTTCCTAATAGTATACTGCAATAAAATAAGGCCTTCATAGCTCTTGAGCAGAAGACCCAAATCTTAGCTTGACATTTAATTGACTGCCTAGGGTCTGTATTAAAAGAAAACTGGTTTATATTCCCACAGCTCCCTCTATAGATTATGATCTTTGCTAGACCTGAAATAACTAGGTTGTTTTTTGGGCCTATTTGAAGGGAGTGTGTCATATGAGAAGGCTAATTTCTCTTGTACTTACCCTAAAGTTTGTTTGTAATTTAATGCAATCCAGTTAAACTTTAATCTGAAGCTACCTTTTTTTTTTTTTCCCTTTCTGTTCTCCAGAGCAAATCTTCCTTCTCATTCTCCTAGGAGCT